TGAAAAAAAAATGCACCACTACATCTACCCCTGAAACCTGACGCAGTTTCCAAAAAACAAAGTGAAAGCAAAATACCAATTCACATGACAAAGTTAATAGATTACTTGACATTCTAGAACAATACGAAATCATATCCCCAGTAAATAAGGAAGAACAGCCAACAGGAAACACGTTTATTGACCCTGTTATTATTCTCGCCTAAGGAGAATCACTAAAAATAGTTCTAGACGCTAGATATCTCAATTCACTCATTGATGAATCTAAATCTAATAGGCCCATAGAACCAATTCAAGTAACTTTAACAAAAGTAAACGGTATATACTTCACAACCGCAGATATGAAAAGCGCATATAATCAAATGCTACTAGACGAACAATCACCACTATTAACAAAATTCGTTATCGGAAATCAACAATACGAATTTAATAGATTATTCTATGGCATATCCATAGGACCAGCTGCTTTTTCAGCATTTATGAGTAAAATTTTTAGACCACTTATACTCAAAAAAATTGCAATCACATACTTAGACGATGTCTTTATGCAATCGCAAACAAAAGATGATATGTTCATAGTTCTAGAAAAATATCATCAAATTTTACAGAACGAAAAAATGAAAGCAGTCCCAGATAAACCACTTTTTTTCTTAACACGCGTAAAATTTCTCGGACACATTATAGAGAAAAACACTATGATAACCCCATTGAAATCACAAATAGATGCAATTCAAAAACTCCAACCACCTACAAACAAAAATAAAATCGAAGAATTCTTTGAATTGTTAATTTTCTTAAGTAAATACGTCTATAAAATGCAGTTATACTTAAGACCATTCTATAACATTCTTAGACAACAAAACAATTTTGGATGGACAACAGAACATCAAACACGATTTGAAATAATCAAAAAACTTCTCACCGAACAAATCTCAAAAACAATCCCAGATCCTAATCAACCAATTTATGCTTCAAATTTTGGCATCGGTGGAGCATTACTACAATCCCACAATGGAACAAATAAAATGAATCTTATATCAGCAAACTCTCGCTTACTTACACAAGCTGAATTACGACTCTCTACTCGTATGAGAGAATACACAGCTATCATACATATCCTAACAGAATATGAATTTTTGATACTTGGACCAAAACATCCAACAGTTTTATTTACCGATCATAAACCTATCATATTTCTTTTCACACAAAAATCAAATCCAAACCATAGAGTTTATAGATTTCAACTAATCTTAAGGAAATTTCCAAATTTACACATCGTATGGACAGCAGGAAAAAACCTTGCACTACCTGACACCCTTACTAGAAATACACTACCTGAACTACTAACAAGAAAAAAAACAGTTGAAATACAACAAAATATAAAATTTTATCTCGCTAAAAATGAAACTTCACCACGATTAGAATGTAAATATGCAGTAAAAACTGACATAGAACAATCACAAATAAACAATCTACAACATTTCCCACTCTAGTTTGATTGTCAAAACAACCACTATGAAGTTGATATATTAGACACATCTACATTTAAGCCAATTCCATATTCACATTGGATCAAAAACAATACTCAAAAAGCAAATTAAGCAACAACCACATCAAAAGACCCATTCCGTTTAATAGAAAAATAAAACCTAACGGAAACAATAAATTTATCAGGACCGTTACCAAATGATTCAAAATACACGATAAATCAAGTTTTTAATCTACATGACCCACTTGACACAATACCCCTATCTAAAGTAGAAGTAGAAAACATTTTTATACCAACAACAGGAAAAATCACATTAGAATTATAACAGAAATATCAAAACCTTGATCCCGTCATCAGACAGTTAAAAACATGGCACAAATTTAAAACTAAACCAACCAAAGTTCATACCACAATCTTAGGAAACAAAAGACTCCTTAGATACTTCAGAAAATTCAGTAAAACCACTATAAATGAAAACACAGATATTTCAGAATATCGAACACCTGATTTCAAATTACTTTGCCTACCTTAAAGTATGATGTTAATAGCATTCAATACTTCACATACCCTCACACTAAAGGACACTCAGGAGCAGAAAAGACTCTAAACTTTATCCAAAATTTTTTTTTTCCCAATGCATCAATTTGGATTAAAAAAATATGCAACGAATTCATAATATGTCAATTAAATAAACCCTACCCAAATCAAAAACAAAATGCAGAAAAACAAGATTTTAAAGGACAAAGTCTATATTTCAATCACAGAACATCGTTTGAAACAAAAGGACCAATTTCACCATCCTCAGAAGAAAACTCATAAAGAATGGTCATTGTTGATGCATTTACACACTATGTAGCACTCAACCCAGTACCCCATTGTAATGCTTACTATGCATATACAACACTCTACGAACACTGGATAGCTAAGTTCGGATTACCCGAAATCCTAGTCACAAACAATGGCACTGAATTTATTAATAACGAAACAATTACACTATGCCACTTATACAATAGTAAACATAAACCAAGTATAGCTCATGCACCTTGGACAAATGGACTAGTCGAAGGTATGAACCGTTCATTACAAGAATATCTCAGATGTATCATTAATGGAAATGATACACGATACACCGAATGGTCAACAGATGTAAAATTATTTCCTTATCATATAATTCACAAATTACAACAACACTAGGAATATCACCATACGAAATGGTATTTAACCAAAAGTCACGTAAACCCATTATGTTTACAGCAAACGCACATAAAAATGCACAAAGTTATTGTCAACCAAGTAAAGATTAAATTTGTTACAATTTACCACTCCATACCCATGATGAAGATCACTTTCATCATCAACAAACTTTAAAATTAGCTTTCGGCACACACACTGATTGGATTTTAAAATAGAGATAAGAAACACAACTAAGTTTATCAAAAAATAACAAAAAAATTGTTACAAAGGCAAAACATAAATAATCAAACCAATTCACATTTTACATCAGCAACAGATTTAAAAATCGGAACATTTGTTTCAATTCCAATTTTCACAACACTTAAAAAGGAATTTCTAAAAAGCTACAACCACTCCGAAAAGAACCAAATCAACTAACTGATAAACCCACTGATCTAACATACAAACTTACCGACACAAGTAAAAAAGAAATTGTTCAACATCGAAATAACCTATTACCCTATTACATAAAAGAATACGCACTCCGTGAATTAACTCAATTATATTCTTTCACGGGTTCAGAAATTGAACAGAATCAAAACATAGACCAACAAAGAATCACTTCACCAAACATCTTCTAAACCAAAGACAAAAACACCTCAAAAAGAAAGAAAAAATAGAAAAAAGACAGAAAAAATTCTACCACAGGATCAACAAGAGAAATTTGAACACAGAGAAACATCACGACTTAGAAGTTCACCACGAAAAAAAAATAAAACCTTCATCCCACAATCTAAAATACTGAAAAAAAAATGAATTTCAAAAATAAATTTTATTTTCATTTTTCTTTACCTTCTTTTTATATATTTTGAACATACACATTTTCAAAATAACATGCTAAAAAACACTTAAGTCAACTAGTTCAAAATCAGCCAATAAAAATCATTCCGAATCACCACTTTATTTATCGTGACACGACTTTATTAGCCGACACTTATTCACCTCTAAGCATAACTATAACTATAACTTTATCCCTTTAAACAGTTTCTCATTAATAAAGGCCCCTAAACGAGCCCTGATTAGTTGAAATACATCATCACTTTATTACGGAGTTAACAAATAAATATTCTTTACTGAGCACAAAATTGTAATCTACCTTGCAGAAAACTGAACGTTTTGGACGAACCGAGAAAAAGACTGGGATAATTAAAAGTTTTCTTTAGCAACATAGCAATAACACCAAAATAACAGCTACATTATCATAGTTGCTATTGTTGAATTGGTTAAACTGCTGCGGAACAAATTGCGTAGTTTCAAAATTGGTATTTGGCCAAAACTTTAGTCGTTTCTCCTTTTAAAAAAATTCAATATTTTGAGATAATGGAGTTTTCTCAAGGAAATAATAATTTCTAACCCAAAATTAAGGAGTCGCCTCAAATGCATTAAAATTTTGCCAACCGGTTTTTTTCGTTTTATTTTTTCAAATTTTCCACCTCAGATTTTATAGGGCAGTTTTTCAGAAAAATCAATAAGTTTTTCAAAAAACTTCAAAAACTTGACCTTCTGAAATTTGTTTTTTTTTCTGCAAAAAGCAGGTCGTGGCCGTTAAAGGAGAGAAGATTCCTTAAGCTGAGCTTTATCAACAGTGTATATCAAAAAGCAGGTCGTGGCCGTTTAAGGAGAGAATATTCCTTTAACTGAGCTATATCAACAGCGTATATCAACAGCCATTCAATTTTTGCCGTCATTCAATATTTCCAATCAAAATATTTTACACAAGAAACAACAACCATGCTTTGTTTGGACATTTAAACGCTTGCGAACTCATGCAAGTGATCCGATGAGATATACCGGGAGAGAAAAATAGCCTATTCATTTTCACCCAAGGTGAAGGAATGACTTGCCGAAGTTTCAGTTTGCCTCTCTGTTCATTTTGTGAACTTTAAGCGGATTCCGCAATAAGACGAATTTTAACATTTTTAAAGACTGATATGCACACTTCAAGTTGTTTGCCCATCCAGTGCACAGTTTTGCCTCGTAATGCTGAATTTTAAATCACGTCAATAGTTTGAGGTCAATTTTTTACTGGGCCTTCAAAACTAGGATCTTTCAAAACAACCAAATAACAGATTAGAAGTACTATATAATTTTGGTTCAATTTTTGAACATTTACATTCCGCCCCTACTCAATACCTGGTGACTCTGGTGACTAAGATGACAATCTGATCATTTGGAACATTAATTTAATCACTTCGCCTTTCATGGTCTGACTTAATAATTTTTTGCAGCATTCAAGCTGCGAAATTGTGTGCTTTTAAACAGCGCAGTCGCCACCTGGTCACTTTATTTTGATTAACTTTAACCAAATTCTCCACAGGGGACTTTTAGTGTATCTTTGAACCGAAAAAACAATAATTCGCATACACCAGACCGACGATCATCGAAAAATGAAATAAGGGCAAGTTTGGCTATTTGAATATTTTAAACGAAATTTCCGGTCCAAAATTTGCTTTCCAAACGAAATTTCCGGTCTAAAATTTGCTTTCCAAACGAAATTGTGCACCTAATATTTGCTTTCCATTGCTTTCTACTCTCTGCTGCACGAACAAATTCTCACTATTTTAAAATTTTTCGACCGCAAATTTTAATTTGTTGTGATTTTGTTTTCTTTAGTGGCCATTCTGCGCAGCATTTTTCGTTTTCAGTCTGCCATATTGAGAAGACTCCGACAGTCGATGCGTAGCGGGGAGCTACCATAAACAACATGATGAGCAACTCGATTGCTCTCGAAACCTTCAAGCCGACGCACGGCGTGAAGTAATTGTCACGTTGTAACAACTTTTAATTGAACAGAATATTGACTAGTGATGTTGATTTATATTGGTGTGGTAATCTGTGATGTTGACAAGTTTTAAGTCGTAAAATTTTAATTAGACTATCTATCGCTCAGATCAGTCAGCGCTGAACAACCTGTCCAATCGACTTTAATCAAAGGGTACTTCCGCGACGCCTGAGATGCTTTCGGCACTTCACTCTCACTTGTCGTCGGACAATTTTGACCTGCTGTTAGTGTTGTATCAGTGAAACTTGACGCTTTGTTATCTCGTAATTCAATCAAAAAGTCTTCGATCAAAATCAACAGCCGTGAAATTTATTTATTCTGTATCTGCTCCAGAAAATGAAGATCCTGATGCATTTACTCTACGCGTTCCTCTGCCTTATAGCTGTCTCCAACGTAGACGCTAATAATGACGGTAAGTAATCACTTTGAACTTTCACATGTACGGCCCAGTTTTGGGTCAACGGGTGCTAAAAATGCTACCGAGGATCATCCCAGTTTTCAATAATGAGCATAAAATCAAAGATGTCATTTCTTTCGGTTCAAATGATGAATAGCAACTTAATTTTAAATCTTTCAAGCTATGAGTTTTTAAGTGTATTACGGAACAAATAAATATATAGCTAATCCGCTGCATAGATTTACCCGTATAAACAGATAATATCTTCTATTTCTTGGAATCACTTAAATGGACGCTCTGCCTTAAACACTGATCTTTTAAGATACGCGCACAGTGGTTTGTCATTATGGATAAGAACATCTGTGGCTTGATAAGAATCAACTGGCTTATTCATATCGAAGATGCATGTTCTTATCTGATTAAAAGAAAACAAATCAGTATCATCCACTAATGTTTCTTCTATCTCTAAACTTCTTAGGAATCGACTGTCCATTCTGCAACAAGAGGGAGTGTTTCTCGGCCATGGCTCAGCTGGATTGTGGACCAGCAGGCTATGCCAGGGATGTGTGTGGTTGTTGCTTCAGATGTGCCGCCTCAGAGAACGAAATGTGCGGAGGCTTCCGAAATCTATTCGGTAGTTCACATCATTAATTGCTGTTAAAATACAATCGATAAATCAACAGTTTCACTGAACATGACCTACCGGTCGGTAATAGAGGTTAAGAAAACACGCTTCAAAATTACTTTACAGCTGACCGAAAATGATTCCATTAGAGAAGCTCACATCGAAGAACCGAATTTGAGGAAAACTGTCTTCGTTCGATTTTCAATTAATTTAACGAATTATTTTGATGTCTGTTTTATTTATTGTATCTGGACTCTGAAAACAGGTTAATTCAAAAGAAACCAAATACAGATTTCTCTTTGAACTTTTATCTATTTTTAGGTCAATGTGGATTCGACATGTACTGCAAACCACAGCCGATTCCCTACCAGAGTGACCAACCTATTCCCAGGTACGGATACTGCACCAAACTGGAGGGAGTGAGAAACTTCCAGAACGACCTGATAGAGAGCAAGCAGCTGATGCTGGATGTGATCACTGAGGAACTGCAGCAGCAGATCAAGAACTCTCCAATGGACTATCCTGATATCGGATTCCAAGCAGACCCAAGTCAGTATGGTGCATATTTTTCACATATCATCCAGGGGCGCATATAATATTTTTTAAACCGCTGCGAGTTCAAAATAGTCCTCCCCTTTAAGGCAGTCGATTATAAATTTCGAAATTATTTTTACCTTCAATATACCCACCATTGTCAAATTTTACAATTGATTCCAAGTGCACGATCAAATAAATATATCGACGCATAGCGGAGCTTATCGCCACTTGCAATACACCACAAACAGCATGTCAAGCTAGCCGACTAAATTACGAAAGTTACTAAGCCAAAAAACTGATGTTAGCTTCGAATTGGTAGAAATTGATCAATGGTTGTCAGTCTTGAGCTAAAATGTCTTTTAATTTTTGATTAGGTAATTATGCTAACAAAACCTGGGTAGACGCCCGTTGAATTGAAAAAAAATCTTTGTCATAAATTTTAACCAAAGAAAAGTGCATATATTGAAATGTGAAGCGAATAAGACGACATAAGCGAAACCTTCTAAGCCCAAAAATTCTTTAAACGGAAACACCAAGTGAAACAATAGAAATTCAGTTGGTTTACAACCACCAATAGAATCACAAGATTCGAATAGAACGGGAACTTAAAATGCAGACATGCTCACTTTATGTCTGTTGCAGTAAAATTTTTCACAGAGGCATCCACGAGATGAGTCTTGTTTCCAGTGCGAGGCCTCCAGATGGATCCTGTGATTAAGTTTTTCGCGGAAAAAATCTAGATCCCTGCTGCAATACACTTGCTCTTGCTGCCGTATCAAAAATTCTCGACCAAGTAACTTTTCCATTCAGATTCGTTTCAAATGGACGACAGCAACTACTGGGCAGCTACAGATAGGGGAGTGTTTGGGGAGGGACTGGAGCAGGGGGCGACATTCACGACTGAGAACCAATTGTGGGGCCAGTGTGCCCCTCCCTGCAGCCGCCAGCTGTGTCTCGACTACCCCAGGGCCATATGCTCGGCCAAAAACATACTAAGGTGACAACTATACCTCGCCACTCAAGTATTATATTTTTGTTTAAATAAATGGAGCATTACTATAAATTCTACGGCTTACTCAGTTAATCCAGATTTTTATCGGAGACAGCAAAACTTGAGTAAATTCCAACAAACAATACAGTTTTTTCTTGTTTTCAATCGAAATAGCGACGCGACATACACGCGGAACAAGCTGCCCCCATTATTAAAAAAAATAAGGAGTTTAAACTAGAAACCTCGTTTAAATTCTGAGATGATTTATTTATTTTGTTTTATCTTTAACTCATCAAGTATTTAACTCATATTTTCCAGTCCCACCCACAAGTGTGACGACAACCCCTGTGAGCACACTTCGTGCCTGGCCTGTGGCTATGAGCCAGACACTTCAGTCTGTGGCTATTGCGAAGAGGAGACGAAAACTCTCAAGTATGACAAGTGCATGATCAGATTCGGAAAGTGTGTCAAGACCATGCGCAGAGTTACCAAGAAAAACCCCGACATGTACCTCAAGGTACCTACTTATCAATGTTCAAATTGCTATGGTGTTAATTGGTTCTCACGCGGCGTGCTACAATGCGCATCGAACAAGCATTGGCTGATGTTCAAAATACATGATCTAAAAACACAGGGAGACCATTTATTTTTTCTGGCGCCTACATTTTATCCTCGTTTATTCAAAATCTACCTTTTACTCTAAAGCTTTTTTGCCCCATAATCAAGAAATTCTCTGGCGTTTTCTAGCGCTTTCTCTAAATTTTTTCTGAACACTCAGAAGGAAAACGATAAAAGTAATTCGTATCGTGCAACTGCTGAACATGGCAGTCCTAAAAATGTTGATTGAACTCTTCTTGATATTGTACTTGAAAGTTCAAACTTAACTTGTCTTTGCTTTTAGCAAGGAGTAATCAGCTACGAGTGTGCAGTGCCGAAGTGTGGTACCAGCAATTACCTGAAGATGAAGTGAACAAAGAAACAATCCAATTGATTTGAACTGCAGATTAGGACTAAAAAAGAAGTTCATTCTCCGCCGTTCTTACACAATTTTAATTTTAATGAGCACAATTGCCTAATTTACACTTTCCACTTCGTAGCTAGTTCAAATTGAAATATTTTTGAATTCATATTTCAAAACCCAAGGAAGCAAACTGTAGTGGGTCACAGAAAAAACTGTAGACTTGAAACTTAAATCCAGCAATAAAGTAACTGGTAAACTACAATTGCCTGTCCTCGTCTAAGCTACATTCATCAGTTTTGATAAATTTACAAAAATATATCTATCATTTAGAGTCAATCAATTTTTTCAGTTCGATAGCCTTTTCGACTTCACACTGCGCTTTATGGATATTGGGCCGCGCATCTGCTAGTTCCTGTACTGTCGCCACTGCATAATCTGCATCGAAGTAAGCACCCTGGGCCGACTTATCCGTTTGAATTAAAAGCAGTTTAGCCGAAACCATCTCTTTGGCCGATTTTCTGCAATGTTCTTTGATCCTGTACAAACCCATTGAGGGTTCATTCGCAATCATGTTGATAGTTTGGGACATAAGGTTACATGTTGCGTCACATTTGGATTCAATTTCGGGATGAATATTTGCGGTTAAAGGCATTTTTAGTACGCAACGCAAATTCGTCCTCACATTTCCAAACTGAAGACATTAATAAAACTCTCAGACGCCCAGGATTTCACAGTTTAAGTTATGTTTGCTAGTAAAATTGAATTGCGCGAAAAATAAATTTCTCTCATCCTTATAAATTATCCATGAAACGATGAGCGTTCTCAATTCAAACATAGAAACTTGTGTTATTAAGAACAACAATCAATTCATGTCAACTTCAAAACAGACTATCAATCAAAGCGTCCTTGAAATCAGTCTGGGAAGGTGTCTTCATATCTCCTTCTGCATTTGCTGCAGCAGCCGTACTGACCCCGTTGGCGGGCGTTGGCACAAATGAGTCTGATAGTTTGAACACTTTTTCGATCACTGATATCTCTGTTGCTGTGGAATTGAAGCCTGTGAATGCTATCCAGTCGTTTACAATGAGACCTGAGGATATTTGGTTGCTGCCTCTGTTCACTGTACCTGCCACTAGAGGAACCTGACAATAAAATACATTACCAGATGAACCATCTTCCCACACATATCTATCTAATCGGAAGCTTTAAGCAGCACTCTAGAGAAAACCAATCAGGAACATCCTCTACTTAAGATTTTGTTTACTTCCTTTTTTCTCTACCCTTCCCTTTTGTTATATTTAACGAAATCAACTTTTTTCCGACCAATCTAGAATTTTCATAACAGAATTTAAAGCTAATACAGATTAAGCAAATTTATGTCTAAACTACTGTGAAGAATACAAAACAGAGAAATAAAAAATTGACAAATATGTATAGCAAAGTGAAACCTGATCAGAGAAACAAAACGGCTGGCCCAAAATCCTCTGGTAATTTTCTCTTCAACTTATCGTTGTGTTCAAAACAAGATCCCCTCCCCCCCCCCCCCAAGGGGTGGCAACAAATTATGCGTAGGGTGTTTTTCCCTTCAATTTAAGGTACCTAAGGAAAGCTCGTAGGGGGTCAACAGTAGTATCACTTTTAAGCCCTATTTGTCGTGACTCCGATTCCAAAAAAAAACGTTCTCAGTCTCAAAAGACCTGTCTGAAAATTTTCGTTTTTAAACCAAATTAGATAAAATGATGAGAGATTGACCTCCCCACTTAATTCTACAACAATTTTAAAGTTTGTTCAGCGATGAGTATTTCTCGTTCTTGCAATTTTTCAGTCTAGTCAGATGCCTTTTACCAGAGCAAAATAGCAGGAAATATTAAAAAAACTTCATTTTGGAATTTCTTTTCTTAGATCATTGGTGTCGTAAAATTCTGTGCTCTTCTGAGCTCTCCTTGTTTTATTACGTTTACAACTTAGGTGAGCATCAAAATTAGATACTCTTTCGAAGCAATTAAACCCATATGTCAGCTAATTGGCCAACTGTAACTATATATGGCAATTCAGATCGTACACTGCTCATTACTGAAATTTACTGAAGTTCTATATCCAAACAAAGAAGAGAAGCATTTGAGAAAGACCTCGTAAAACTAAGTTCTGTCAATAAACAATTTCATCTACCTGAAGTAGTGAAGTCAACTCATCCAAATCAGACACAGATGTCTTTGGGTGAATGAGACCGCCTCTGTTGGATATGGTACAATATGTCCCCACAAGTACCTGTCCCGCTACTGTCTGGGGGAACACCTCCACTCCCAACACGTCGGAGATGATCTCTTTCGTCTCAGTATCCAAGTCAGGATGTACAAGTGCCACATGGTCATTGCACACAATTACGTTACCTGAATACAGTTCAAAGAATTGACTACAGAGCGTAAAAGGTTCACGCACTCAAAATCAATCTTCATTAAAAAGTGCGAATGCACTGAAATAAATTCTTATCCGAATTTCACTTCAACAAGCGTGTAGCGCACCACCGGTGCTCCGAATTTTCGGTAATTCAAAAAAAGCATATATTGAAAACAAGATCTCCAACCTCTGTGTGCACTCCCACAGCACGCAATTTCAAAGTAGGCAATTTTATCATTTAAAAAAAAGCGCCCATGGAGGAAAATTTTGCAACTACTGAGAGTAACCTGAAAGCACAAACCTTGTTGGGAATTTTTTTATTTCAATTTTTTCGAAAAACATTGAAAAAATGTCATAATTAGGAAACTTAAAGATTTTAGCCGCCAATTTTGGGCGAAAAATTTGCAACCCCTGCGACTACCCTGACAGCACCCAACTACATGGCTGGGAATTTCGAATATCGTGAACTTTTTAAAACTTAAGTTTCCCGATTTTTTTTTAAAATCATGAGAAACGTCTAATCTCAGAAGCTAAAAAGACTAGAGCACTCATATTTGGAGACAAACTTTGCAACGCCTGAGAGTACCTTGACAATAAAGTTGTCTAACTATAAGGTTAGGAATTTCAAATTTTGTGAAGTTTCTTATAGGTTATTTGAATTTTTTAAACTAATTGAAAAACAGTCACACCTCGGAAACTAAAAGCAATTGAGCAGTCGTATTTGGATGCAAGCTTTGCAATCTTTGACAGTACGCTTATAGTACCCAAGTACAGGTTTAGAAAATTTTGAATCTAAGTTTTCTGAAAACTTGGGAAAAATGACAAAAAAACGTCATATCTCAAAAACTTGAAACATTTGAGCAATCATATTTGGAGGAAAGATTTGCAACTCTTGTCAGTGCCATGACAGCTCCCAATTACAGTTTAAGCATTTTCAAATCTTTTGATTTTTTTGAATATTAATTTTCTGAAAATTTTAGAATAAATCCAAAAAACGTCATTTCTCGAAAACTACTAGGATTTGAGCAGTCAGCTTTGAAGGTATGATTTGCAACCCTGAGAGCACCCAAATACGGGGTGGGGAATTTCACATTTTTTGAAGTTAATTCAAAATAAGTTTTGAAACGATATAGCTTAAACATGACCAAGTTCTTTCGTTAAACAGGCAAAAATAATACGTTGAAAAAGCTTAAACATGGCGAAATAGTGAAGTCCGCAATTAACACAGAGGCGAAATTGCACTTCGCATACAGAAGCAAAAATATGACCGATAACGCTACTGGGAAAAACTGAATGAGTAAAACTTTGAGTCTACAAATTTTTTTAAGTAACGCACGACAATTATGAGTCGACATAATTGCTAAGTGACGCAAGCCAATTATGACCCATTAGCAGTACAAGTCAATTGAAAAAAAAAGACATTTACCAACTAACATGCTACAATTTAACTATTTCGCTAGTATGCGAAAAAACTCATTAAAAACATCCGACCCTACCCAGGTTCGATACCTCTTATTTTCTTGCGGGTCTCCATCCCTACCTCTACGCCACAGATCCATGATAACTTGAAGCTTAAATGCTATTTTTAATATAATAGTCTGTGTTAATATCCTTAGCATTGGCAGTAATTAATTGCTGGTTATAGATAAAAATGAACACTTTCAAAATTAACACATTTTGTCGCAACAATATTTGCGTCGCAACAATATTTGCGACTTAGGTTGGAAAAAAAAGAGTATTCATGCTATAACACAAGCTTTGCTCGTGTAAATATACAACAGAGAACAGATTGCTAAGTATGCCAAAGAGGGGGCGTTATGCTGCCCGATTTGAGACTAGTTTATGAGGCCACATTTGTCATCGAAGGTAAAAGGATTAAACAAGTTTAAATAAACTTCGTCTTTTGATTTCTCGGTTTAAAGAAAAATTGATATATTTATATTTTTTTTTGGTTTCCATTGAGTACTAGAGCTGAACAAATTGTTCGACATTTAGAGTAGGCTGAGTGGGTGTATCCAATCTTTTTGTCTATCTTCTATCTATCTTTCATCAATCTTCTTTTGCTATTTATTATCTATCTTTTTAAGTTAATCTTTTTTATTTTGATTTTTTTTGTGTATTTCAACTTCAACAAAATTTATCTTTCTTTCTTATCTATCTTTTGTAACTATCTTTTTGTCTACCTCCCACCTTTTCTCAATCTTTCTTGGCTTTTTATTATATATGTTTTTAAGTTTATCTTTAATTTCGATTTTTTATTGTATTTCAACTTTATTAAAAGCTATACTTTCACGTTCATGTTATTTTCACGTTCAACCATATATATAAGCACCGGAGGTGCGCGCCATGCGCTAGTAATAGATGTAGAAATTTCTTAATATTTTGGACTGTTCATTTTATTTTAGAGCACATTAAACTATCGTTTAAGAATTACCGGTCCCATAACTAAGTTTTTCGTTTAATTTGCTTGTTTAGATGACCGGTTGACAAACATCCGCATAAATTTTAAGAAGTCCAAATTTACAGAAGTGCACTAATTTTCAAGAACTAGGCCACTGACCTAGTGCATTTAGCTTCTCCTCTATCCTCTGGATCTTGATGTTCTCTGGAAGGGAATTTCTGATGTGTTGCAGCTCCTGGTCAACTGTCGTGTTGGGAACCAACAACCCATTCTTGTTGCCTACTGTCAGATTTCCCACTATTCGGCACCCAGCAATCGAAGAGTGAACAACCGGAATTGCATCTGAGAGTTCGCTCTCGAACGCCGAGTAAAAGTTCTCAGAAGCCCCTTGCGCAACAAGACAATAGGAATTCGTCAATGTTGCGTAGCAGCCGATTTCACTGCTATTTTCAAATTGTATTCTCAATGCCATTATATAAACAAACTTTTCCAATTCTTCTCTCTCCCTTGATTTTGGTATAACAGACGCGTTCGAAGATGTCCTTGCCCCCTTATTTATTTCCAAGTGTAACTATCTAAATCTGAAAAGTTTTTAAAGGATAAAATATGCCAAAAAGTATAGCTAATTGCTACGCAGGACATGAAGAATGTTCCGAACGCGCTGCCAAAATCTTGTTGGAAGAACTTAACTCAAATTGAGTTTGAACAGCAATTAAGACAGCCTTCGCGGCGAAAACTTTTCAATGGAAGATTTTTTTTTGGAATACGCATCACGACTGAAAAGGCTTCTTAATGAAAGCACACTTTACCTAGGACGCTTTTTTGTGGCGACGGTGGGTGTTTGATTTTTGCTTCAAAATATCCGATTCTTTACTTCGTTCCCAACCTCTTGGGGCGTGATAGCCAGGGGCGGATTTAAAGCGGTGGGGCGGACGCTCCCCCCCCCCCCCCTCCCCCGCCTCAGGGATTCGACCCCCTGCCGACCTGAAAACCCGCCACCCCCTCGAGAAAATTCTAGATCCTCCCCCTGGAGATAGCCATAAAAATTTCTTGAAAAACCTGTTGTTTTAGTGCCTCGAACGATTTATTCGTAACTCTAAACCAAACCTAATTTTACGTCGGTTCAAGAAATTTTTTTTAATGGTTAACTCTCTGGCGATATACATAAAGTCAAGTAGGTTACTCGAGGGTTAATTCATTGTTTAAAGTGCTAAGGATGTCATTAGGTTTTGTGTGTTGTACTTCAGTCTTATTCATTCATTCCTCCTCTTCGGCTGGAGCCATCATTTGTCTGTGAAGAATTTCCTTTCTCAAATCATTCCATTGTTTGCCTGCATTCCTCGTATTGATTACGTAGTCTCCGAAAACGTTCAACGTCCTCTCGGCTGCAAAAAGGCCAATAAAACATGTCATCAGCCAGGTCGATTGTCGCCTCAATACATTTCTGTAGAATGATTTCACTATTGGCAGGGTCATTGTGAAAAAACTACAACCAATTTACCTGAAAAAAAAACTACTGCGTAAAATGCTATACGCTATTTGAATAAGTCGAGACCGTCCTTCAACACAAATAAACTTCTCCGTAGACCTCTAGAACATCGACTCCTGTACACTTTTGTTCTGACGCAATCCCCACTAAATTTTTTTATCGCAACGAATTAATGCTCAAGATGAATAAAATATGCTGTTTTTGGAAGCTTAAAAAAACAATTTTCAATCCAAAAAAATGGATTCTGCAATAAATCTTCAATACAAGTTTATGCTTAGTTTTTGGCATGTTTTTCGTCAGAATGGGCCAGAAATTGCGGGACGCACTGGTAATTTTGAACTCACTCACCCACGACAAAAAAAAATAACTTTTTCCGATAAAACTCAACATAGACCCTTTTAATATCTAACCCCCACAAATTAAATGCAGAAGATTTCAGTGCAAAAAAACAGGTTTCTAAACACCTTAATTTACATTGGGTCAGTATCAAACTTTATGATAGAGGTTTTGATATGTAGCTTGTGGCTACAAATAAATGTAAAATAAATTATGCTACAATAAAATCGAAGCTAATAGTACGTTAAGAATAGAAGTTAAGCAGGAAGATTATTCAGCCGTCTGCTCCTGCTTTGCTGAATTTGAACAATATTTCTTGATATTTGTTTCCCATCTAGTGGTCTCTGAGCTACATTAAGGAAATTGTAATTTAATAATAACGATTCATATGAAGGCCTGTCGGAAGGCAAAGGTCTGACGCAATCCCGTACAAAATCCCTGAAGTCCTTTGTCCATTGGTCTCCATTTAGCACTGGACCCTTTTCACTGAGTCTTATATACAATTGGCGGTTCCAATCAGTCTGGTTTTCGATCGAGTTTTCATCTTCGATGTAGTAGGGGTGAAACATTTGAGCAACCTCAATCAATGTTACTCCTAGGCACCACACATCTGAAGAGTACTCGTATACCAACACTTCGGGAACCTCTTGATTTTGCATCTCGTAAAACAATCTACATCTTTCTGGAGGCAAGTAAGATTTGGTGGCTATTTCGGTGTAATTAGAGCAACCCTTGTCCAGAACTCGACTGATGCCGAAGTCACTCAACTTGACTGACCCGTTGCTGTGCAACAAAATATTCGCAGGTTTCACATCTCTGTGCATTATTTCATTTTTCTCTTGCAGGAACTGCAGGGCACTTGTTACAGAAAATGCAATACACCTGACTTCTTCCTCTGATATGGGGGTGCCAATTTTCGATAAGTTTTTGTAATAATCGTTGCAGTTGGTAAGCATGTACTCCATGAAGAAATAAACAGATGATGCGCCAACGCAGCCAAGTAGTTTGACGATGTATTTACACTCTCTAGCGACTGAAAGCACTTCAAACTCCCGTAGCACTCCCGCTGTTTCAGCTGCAGGAACAATTTTGACTGCTACTGTCACCTTTTCAGATTCTGCGACATCAAACTCTCCGAAGCAAGCGGATCCAATAAAGGCCTTGTTAAATACGACTTCACTGATTGGCAGGACTACCCTCTGGACTACTGCAGAGGAACCTATCAAAACACAATTCCACATACAGATACAAGTATAAAAGACTAACCTCTGAATTACTAAAGAGAAACATATCCATAGAAACGGGTTATCGTATCAACTAGAAGTACCACGTAATGTTTTTCCGAAAACTCATTTAATTAAACCCAGGAATGTTCCCTTTAGCCCAGGAATGTCACCAGGAATTAAACCCTTTTAACCACAGGAATTAAAGAAAGACCTTTAACCCCAGTGAGTTATGACCTTTTGGTTATACTCATAGAGTAATTTCAGATAAGGTACACCGTCTGCTCGTCACGCTATCTTATTTTCGGCCGGATACATTCGTGCAACTTCTTAGTCTAATACCAATCTTAATCTTACTCTTATATCTCCTAGTCTCAATAGATCTAGTGTACACCGGTTTATGCGAGTTAGTTCCAGAATGAGAACAACTGTATTCTATGCTTAATTCAAATTGTTCTGGTGTTGAAACTACAAGTAGTTTCAACACTTACAAATAAGTGGGTTGTTAGTTTGATGGAGTATGATTGGTTAGTATTCAATAAATTCTAGTTTAGATCTGGTTCCACCAGGAATGTTCACTGCTTTTCAGGCAAAAGGCTTTCCCCAGGTCGGGGGTGTTCAAAAACAATATTGTCGATGTTGTTAAAAAAAACCTTGAGTTAAAAACAATAGGGAAGACAGTGAAGGGCTATTTAACAGAGAGGCAAAGCGGAGCTTCGTACAACTTGTCGATGAAAACTTCGATTGAAAAATGTGGAAAAAAACTGAGTCTACTAAAATTTCATAAATTTGCCTCGAAAGATGTTAGATTTGAGGAAAACAAAAACTTCGAGAAATACAATCGTTAGCTTAAGAGATTCGCAATAATAAATGGCGTTCAGAAAGTTCAGCGGTTTACCATTGAACTGGAAGTTAAATCTAAAATGCCACTAAACCAACAGATGTAAAAACGAATACCTAAAAAGCCGAAAAAAAAATTTGAACCTATTCTAAAAAGAGTCAATATTAAATGATTAAGCCGATATCATAGAAGCCGAACAAACATCTTAGACAGTAAATTTGAAAAGCAAAGTATATAGAATTAAGGCTGATATATTACAAAAGAAATTTCGCTCAGAACACAAAATACCACGCTGTGGCTACTAAGCCGACAAAAAGTAATCAGATGCACAATACCTGTGTAATGTTCCTTTATACGTTTTTACACAAGAAATCGCATTTGAACAAAATTAACAATTCTGAATATAACCCTACAATTCTTAAGACAACCAAGAAGCCGACAAATAAGCATCATGAAAAACTAATATCGTAACTCATACGAAACTGGTCAGAACTCTAGATATGGCTGAAAAACTAATCGACAGTAAACGAGACAAAAGTGGCAAAAAAAATCGTTTCAAATTTTTTGATCGAAAAAACCATCTACCAAAACTTTCAAATATTTGTCATTAGCTTTCTTTATTTGAAAAAAAAAACATGGCAATTAGGACGATTAACTATTGAGCTAGCGTAGTTTTCAAGTCCCCCACAAAACATTAACCTTTAATATTCATCAAACTACTCAAAAGGAGGCCGTTCAGCTGATATAATATTAGCCGAAAACTTTCGAGCCGAATAAAGAGAAAAACTGATATCGGAATTGGTAAACATCGCCAACATAAAAAGACTGAAAAATAATAGTATTTAAAACTTAGACATGCTCAAAAATTGCCTATTAATTGACAAAAACACTGATTTGGAGATGACCAACTATGTCAGCCATCCTATTAGCCTAATTGTTGTGATTAACTTATAAAAAGAGTTTCAAAGAATCGAAAATTAATAATGACAAGTAAAATGAGAAGCCAACGCTCAAGTACCACAAGGACACACCAGTATCCTGTAACGCTTCCGTCAAGCAAACTTGTATCGAACTGAGTCCATGTGGAGAGAAACCATAGTCGAAGAAAACCTCGCAAAAAAGGTGGAAGCTGCACTATCAGAGTCAATGAATGCATTGATCCCAAGGTTAGTAGAGGATATCAAAACGCAGACGAAGGAAGTATTTAATGTGACGATGAAAGAAGCATTATCGAAATTGAAAGAAGATCTTACCTCAGGGGTGAAAAATGAAATCTCTCACTGTGAAAAGAAAGTAAACCTCACAATAATTTCAGAAGCGGAATTATTGGAGACATATAATTGCAGAGACAATGTGCAAAATTTAGGCCTTAGTGAAACACTACACAGTGGCGAGCAAAGTGAGACGATGGAAACAACTAGGAAAAAAGTTGTTGATGTAAGCAATGCCCTAGAAGCACAAATATCCGAAAACGATATTTCCATTGCACACATCGCTGCCATCTCGAAGTAACAGGAACAAGCCAGTTATTGTGACGTTTCCGAAAAGAATAAAGAAAATACATCTTTTGAAAAAGAAGAAGAATTTATTCAACCACGAGGAGCAGAAAGACACCAAAATATTCGAAAGTCGAATATTCGAAATGTGATCATGAAGAGGAACAGCAGCTAAAACTAATCGAGCAAAAAGGTAATGGTGCTAATGTTCATATATTGCTCTCGAATGTAGGGTCAATGAAAAAAGCATCGTGAAGATCTAGAAGCACTTCTAAGTAGTCTCGAGTCTCCCATAAATGCAATATGTCTAGCAGAAACTCAGCTTAATGAAACGGATGATTTTAATGTTTAAATAAAAAAGCTTTCATACACTATTCAGGAAGATAAGGAAGACTAGATGCGTAGGAACTAAGATACAGAACGGTGACAAAGTTAATTTAATAGACCAGCTTGATAGTACATTATCACAATCCATTTCTATCGTGGTTGTAGTGAGTGGATGTAAGTTTGTAATTGCAATGCTTTATGTACCCCGAGGTATAATGAAGTAAAATTTGTCGAAGAGCTCGATAAGGAGCTAGAGTTTCTTGCGACTTTTTAAAATCCAATTGTTCTGATGGGAGATTTTAATATCGATACATTACGGGAAAAGAATCAAAAACAATCATATTTAGATACAATTACTTCTAATGGTTTCGAGCTATTAATCAAATGCCCTAATCGAGTTAGTGACACATTTGAAACTTGTACAGACCGTGTCATAACCAGGAACTTAGAAATTCTAACCATAAACGTGCTAGATGATGATTGTTTTTCCGATCATTATCCTATCATATTAAAAACTATTTTTGGATTGAAAACGGAACTGTCAAACTATACATATCGTGATATGTCATTCCTTACAAAAGAAGACACACTGAAATATTTCTTGTTAATAATGAAACAAAAGTACGAATTCTCAAATCTAATTAGCGACCACGAGCGGAATAGTGCCCACAAAAATTTCAAACATGGCCTTCTAAAATCATTTAACATTTTGGTGCCAACGGGCAAAATTGTTAAAAAATCTAATACTCATGCTCCTTGCTTTATTAAAAGTTAAAGAACTCCTTACTTAGGAGAGATAAATTGTACAAATTATGGAAGTCAGACAAAGAAAATTCCGACAAGAAATATAATTTCCTGCATCACCGGCGAAAAACAAATAAGATTAGAGAAAAAAGAGTATTACTTTAACACACTTAGTATTGGAATATCGAGACAAGTATTCAATATATTAAATATATCTAACGCTTTCAATGACATTTCTCTTCCCTTTGCACCAACTTAGCTAATAAAACTGACCGCAAAGGACCAGTGGTTCAACAAGCAAACATGATTCAATCAATGTATGTATCTTTTCAACAGCTCTTTCATTGAGACAATTGATGTAAAAATGTCCGAAACTAAAGCATACATATGGTATAGATGAACTAAGTAACCTCTTCCTAATTAAAAGCTTTTATGTGATTGTACCATATTTAACTTTTTCGACTCATATCTGGTTTAATACTGGGGTTTTTCCTAAATATCGCAAGTAAGCAAAAGTTTCACATAGATGATAGTCGAATAAATATGAATAACTATCCTCCGATATCACCCAGTTGTAGTAAAGTGAAGATAATGCACTTACGTTTATACAATTATCTCGGAAAACTTGAGCTAATATTTTATCGTCAATTTGGTTTTAGCGAGAAGTATGCCACGGTGTATGCATTAGCAGAACTGACTGAAAGACTTAGACTAGGCGTTGATAAATATTTAAAAAAGCTTTTTTATGGCTACAAATGATTTGAATGTTATTTTATCTAACAGATATCAGTGTGTACAAGTTGGCAACTGTACATCTTATTGGCTTCCGGTGAAAACGGGAAATTTTCAACGTTCTTTTTGGGTCCGCTTCTTTTCTTTATTTATATTTTTGACATGCAACATGCAGATGCCATTTCTGATCTTTTTTGTTTGCAGACGACACTAACATATCGTGCCAAACTTCGATCTTATAAGAATACCAAAAAACTTTAACGAACAATTCCTCTTGGCTGTGTTCAAACAAAATTACCTTAAACAATGATACCACTACTTAAGTTAGATTTATTAAATATAGAGGTGCTTCTAAACTTAGTATCAATTTACTCAATAATACATTTAAACCCAAATCCTGCTGTAAACACTTAGGTGTTGTTGTCGATGAAAAATTGAATTTTTTCCTCATTTACAAAAATTTAAAGCAAAACTGGGTAGTCATTGTGGCGTTGTTTCAACACTGAGATAATATGTACCTACATCAACCTTACTGAAACACTATCAAACGAAAGTGAATTTAACAATTCAATATGGTTTACTTGTATATGGATGCACGAGTTTTTAATCACTGAACCTACTTTTGATGATGCAACGAAAAAAAATTCGCATGATTTACTTTAACAGAAAGAATGATACCATTTCTAAGGTTTTTTTGAAGACAAAATACTGACAGTCCATGAGCTGTATATCGACGAATTGACAAAAATTTGATTAAGATCATTAAACCGAAAGCACTCAACTTTTTTCTATATTCTATGTTTTCTTTGAAAAGTTTTGCCTACAATACCAGGAACTCAGAATATCGAAATTTTGTTCCACCATTTTGTAATAAACAGAAATCATGTTCGTTAACCATTAGAGGAACAAAGTTACTGAATATTTTGGCTGAGAATAACCTTTTACCTGAAAAATTTGGTTTGATGACAAGAAATGAAACTGTGTTTTTGTCCATAAGTTACGAGATAATTTTATACTTGGAAATCATTGCAGTTAGTGAAACATATTTTCGATTTGGTTTTTAATTTGGAAAAAAAGATACCCGTAGTTAAATGCTAACGAATAACCTTCTGAGGGTTGCAAAAACACCCCGAAAACATGACCCTCTAAATCTTATTAGTTTCCGAGTTATGGTAGTTTTTTTGAAAACTTCGAAAAAAAATTTGGATTCAAAATCATCCGGATTTCTTTGAAGAAACTACCGCACATGGGTCGTGAAACATGTCGAACATAAAAAGTCGAGTCGAAAAAGTTCAGATTATAGCTGGGATCTTTTGGTAACTTGTAGCTCATCAAAACTATGAGCCACAAGTTACCAAAAGTGGTTCAACGGAATAGAATATGTCGAGCAGACATATTTCAGATGATGGCTGGGATCTTTTGGTTACTTGTGGCTCATCGGAACTTATGAGCCACAAGCTACCAAAAGTGGTTCATCGGAATAGAATATGTCGAGCATACATATTTTAGATGATGGCTGGGATCTTTTGGTAACTTGTAGTTCATCGTAACTTGGACAATAAATTGATAGAAAAACTTGGAATGATTTACTATTATTTTTTCAATGTTAAATTATGTTATTTCAGAACATTATGGGTAGACTCTAAGTGGACTTATCTTCTGACCTCCGTCTATCCTCTCCATATTCATGTTAATTTGTTCATTTATGAAAAATCTTTATGAATTTATTTTTCATTTGACGAATGCAATGATTTAATAAATGGAGAAATAAATTCTTTCTTTCTTCTTTTTATACACAAAGTTATTAACGGAAAAAGTCTGAAAATTGGTTGAAAATAGCACCCATCTGAACAAAGGATCTGCTTAGTACTAACTAAAGCACAACGGAACGCAAGAAGATACAAAAAAAATATTGACTCATTTTTTTCAAAACAACTTCAACTTTCAAAACAACTTCAACTTCAAAGAAAAAACATATGGTGTCAAAGCTATTCAAATTTCGCGAACAAGTTAAGTTTGACAATTTTTTGATAAAATTATCCCAACTTGAAAAAAATGAGTCAATAGGTAAATGATTCATTCAGCTGGAAATCTGCAAACTAAAATCCACTTTCGATACCAGAAGTCGATCACGTTTTTCGTGACCTTTTTTTCGTGTTCGATAGTGGAGTTTGTCTTCCTTTCAACAAAGAAAAGCAGTGAGCGTAAAAATAAATCAAAAGTCAAAAATCGTTCATGAAAAGTTTTCGTGATTTTGGATCTAAACAATTAAATTTTGGTTCTTTTTACTTATTCAGCCCATATTTGCAAACCTCAATAGATGTTGTTTGGCTTAAGAGAAGATCTGATGAAAGAAACATGGTTGAATTATGGCATTGACTTGTTTTTTGAAAAATTTGCAACTTTCCAACTTCGAAGAAAAAAATATAGGCCCTTAAGGCCCATTGAATTTCAAGAAACATTTAAAGATTTGCACTTTTTTTGATATTAACTCGATTAGAGAAAACTGGAGTCTTAGGCAAATTTAAAGTTTTTATTCCGCTGGGAACTCTCAAAATAAACTCAACTTTGGTAACTAGACATTGATCACGTTTTTTTGCGCCATTTTCTCTTTTCTAAATGCAGAGCGAGAGTTGCGAAAGAACTTGAATTGAACTCAACAAGTGCAGATATACATATGGCAATCATGATTGCATTAAAAAGTATGAACTCACTTTTTGTAGTTATGAGAGCATTGCTGAAAAAAAATCATCACGACATAGAAAAATCATCACGCATAAGCGGAGAAAAAAAGTTGTTCGTACAACGTGAAACATTCTGAGCGATAAAATTGACTAGCGCATGACTCGCCCTACGGTGCTTCAAATAGATTGTTGAACGTGAAAAGAGCTTCCTAAAAAAAACAGATTGGAACCGTAAATATAATTTGGGCTCACACATCAGGGTTTTCTATTTCAATGAATAAACAATTTTAAACAATCATCTTTCAATTTATTTTTCACCCAAATGGTCATATCTCCAAAAACCACTAAGTTTATTTGATTTATTGAAAACCTCCAGAAAACATTTAAAATTGAAAAAAGACCCTGAAAAGTCTAGAGAATACACATGCCTCTTTCATGTTTTTTTTTATAGAAGCTCAAAAGTTTTCCAATTTTTATTGGAGAAAAACTCTTTAGCTTACTAAAACTATTGGAGAAAATTTGCCTAAGCTTACTGAAAATTTGAAAAAAAAACACATAACCAACTGAAACTTGGAAAAGAGTAATGAACCGACTTTTTTTTTAAATATCTTCAACTTTTGAATCTCGAAGAAAAAAATAAATGGAATTAAAACTCTCTGTTTTTGTAGAACAATTGATGATGGACACTTTCATGGTAAAACTTACCCAATTTGAGAAAACTGGATCAAAAGGGATAACTTTCATTTCGCTGGGAAATCGTGGAGTTTGCCTTCCTTTTAACAATAGAAATGCACTGAAATCACAAGTCAGACTGCGAAAAATCAAAATTGAGCGTGAACAAGTTTTTAGACTTTTTCCTGAAAAAAAAACAATTAAAAATCAGCAAGAATATATAAGAGTACTCACTACGTTCATATATCACGAGAAACAAAATGGAGAAGCTCATTTAGAAGCCAAACTTGCAACCTCTAGGACAGCACCACGATAGATAGTTGAAAACTTCAACTTTGTAATTTTTCAGATCTATGTCTTGAAGAGCAAATTTTCAAAAAGGTAAAATACATATCTCAGCTCTTAAAAGGTTTTGGTCAGTCATTTTAGGATGCCATATTTGTAATTTCTGAGTGCACCCTGAAAGCACCATTACCATAGGTCTGAGAGTTTTAAGTTCTGTTAGTTTTTTTCAAAGCTAAGTGTTCTAAACAAAATTGAAAAATTAAAAACATTCGAAAACCAAAGGAATTTGAGCAGTCATATTATGAGGGCAGAAATGCAACACCAGAAAGAGCTCTGAGAGCACTCCACCATAAGGTTGAGAGTTTCAAGCTCCGTTAGTTTTTTCCATCTATTTTTTGTGAGTATTAATCTAAAGATTTGAGTAGTAAAATTTAGAGGCCAAAAAAGTGAGTGTGAACTGATAACATCCCAGCATATGGTAGAGATTTTAATTTTTTTTTTAGATCTAAAATTTTTGAAACAAAAATTGAAAAAATAAAAATACGCCATATCTCGAACACCAAAGGGCTTTGATCAAAAATAGTGAAAGAGCACAATTGTCTTCCCATAGTGCACCCTGAGCGCACCCTACACAGGGTAGTTTCAACTTCAGTTAACTTTTTTTTCAGATCTATTTCTTTGAACAAAAAAATCATAAAAAACGCCATCTCGGAAACATAAATATGCGAGCAGTAAAATTTGGAGACCAGGTTTGCAACTCCTGACTGTACCCCGATTTTTTTTAGTTTTTACGCTCGCGATTAGGAAGCATTATTAAACCGGAATATAGACTTTTTTCGGTCGAGTTATCATCTAATTTCACAGAATCATTTTACCTTTGACCCATATGAAATCAGAAACAGACGTTAACTCGCGCATATGGCGCTAAGCGATTAATTTGAGTTAATCACAGATCGGACAATCATTCCCCCAAATCCCAGAAGTTCGATTCCAGAGGAGACTGGTTTTTTTTGTGGAAACTGAAGATTTTTCAGTTGCTGATAATCACAGCCATTCATTTTTGTATCGCAAGAATCGCGAAGTAGAGCAAAACCCCGCTTCGCCTGTGTTCAAATTTTTGAAAACAAAATTATAAAAACGCCATATCTAGGAAACCAAACGGATTTGAGCAGAAAAATTTGGAGGCCAGATTTGCAACCCTTGAGTGCGACCTGATAGCACACCACCATACCGTTGAGAATTTCATTTTTGTTAAAAACACTGCAACAAATGTTTTATAATTTGCATTGCGAAATTAGGAAAAAACTACAATTAAAGCATTCACGTTTCAACAGATGAATAGTTAAAAACAATAGATGACCTTGGAAATTTAAAACTTTGAATTCAATAAATCAAATTAAACGTTGGAAAATATTGACAAACTATTAAACAGGCATTTTAATAAAGAAAAAACCTGGATTCGCATTTAATTTTGTCCACTAGCGTATATAAGAGTCTGAACCACGTTCATCGAGTTTTAAAATTCCTGACACGAAAACTGATCACCACGTAAATAGTGACTAAGCCCACTTCGGCGTTTAAATTTCAATACGTATTCAGCTAGCCGGGAAAAAAAAAGTCTTTTTCGGCTATCCAGGAATGCGGCTCCCTGGCGCGCCACCAATTTTAGCCTTGTATTCATTTATTTACGCGGCAAGGTCTCTCTTATTTTGCGCCGTTCAAGTGAAATTATCGTGAAAATACAATATTTATATTGTGACCTAAATATTGTGGATCTTCTTGTCTATAACTTACCGCAACCACTGTCCTCGTTAGAACTGACAATTCTTTCACATTTGTCTGGATCTAAATCATAATCCAGTTTTTCCAAGCGGGTTTTCATAGGCAGTACCTTGAGTGGGCAACTTTCCGAATACAGAATAGGTTCTTCGTGGGTATTGGCCCTGGGCATTCGTATTAGAGATGGAGGCATCATGAGGGTGTGCTACTTATAAATCATTAACTGAAATTATGAAGTGTTTAATATTCGTTCTCATTATAGCCCAGCCCTCCCCTAATACAAAACTCAAATCAATTGAGCAATCATGCCACTAAAAAGAATAGCAATTAGAACTTCGAACTATGTAACAATTGAAGGAAGTGGAAAAACGAGAGAAATAAAAAACAAAAAATGCTCTTTTTTAATGTATTTCAGTTTTTCAAAGAGGTCCTAGTGGGGTTGAACTTTAGAATTCAAAAAATTGGTTCCCGAGTCTTATTGATCTCAAAAATTATACCGGACATTTTAAGAAAAAAGAAACTCACCTTATCTCTAAATTTAATTACCAGAGATTGGTTAACAAGATTATATTGAGATAAGGTGAGTTTCTTGATGGATCAATCTGTGTAGCAATAAAAACAAACAACAAGTTTCAGACCCTGTATTTAACGGCGTCTAATTTCGAGCTAATAAAGTCAGTGTGGGGAGGAAAAATTTCCAATTTAGAACTAATAAAGCGAGCGAGCAGGCCTACAATAGAATATTTATGCTTAATTTAATTGAAATATTTTGTATTTCAAGATATGGCAAGTTATCTCTGGAACCAACTCCACTGCGAAATTCAATAAACATCAAAACAACTAATTGACTCAAGAAGTCTTGTAATGTTTAATATGAAAACTGCACCACAAGGTCAGTTCACTGCAAAGATTCCCCAGCGAAGTTTCACTCTACTCTTGCTCTTCTTGATTGCTTGCCGAAGCCACTCAAAATTCTGTCGGTAAGCAAACAACTCTGCCCTCGCAAAATATCTAGCTACGACAACTGCCATCACCGACTGAACGAGTGAATTTAGGCAGGACTTTCCCGCTATTCCTAATTTGGCTATTGTTGTGAGTAAAACTGGTGATTTTGAGTTGTCGCGAGAAAGTCATACATAACTAGTTCAAATCAAATTTTTAAAAATTCAAATTCCAAATGAAAACTTCTTTCATTATGACCGACTGGCACAACGCAAACGGTTCTCTCATTTAAGTTTTTCATCTCAGTTTTGATTGTGTCATTCTTAGGAAAAGGGCAAAAAAATTTTAAGGAACTCTGCATAAAAATTGGCACGTTCGCTTTCGAGTAAAGTCAAAAAATTTCAAAAATGTCTAAGTTTTAAAACTTTGATTTGTTTGAAGGTGAAAACCTTTTTTAACAATCTGGGCATAGCCAATTATAAATAGAACTTTTCCACAACCCGTTGTTTCGGGTAAACCTATGATATAAGATTTAGCAGGATAAGTAGCAAGAAAAATCCATTGAGAAATAATAGTTAGCGAGAAGGAAATCACGCATACTGTAATTTCGGTTGAGCCTAAAATCTCAGATGTGGGAGTATAGTTCTCGCGAAAAGTCGATAAATTTCAAAAAAGAAATTTTGTCTTTTTGAGGACAATATTTACTCTCGTATACTGGGAACGGCCCGATAGATATTATGAGATACAGATTTGTGAGACTGCTAGCTTTTGGCACAAATAAAATCCTAGTTTAAACTTTCAGTCGAAGGCTGTCCTGCGCTACTGAATAGGACAGCTCAGACATTTCCAGGACAGATGATAGACGACCTCGATGATTCCAATAGCCGCAGATCAGTTATTGAAAACGCAAACAAATTAATTGACAGCAAATGAGTCTTTGTTCATTTGGACGGCTCCATTGGGCGGTGTATTTTTTAGGTAGTCACTCTAGACTTCTCTTACATAAAGTAAAACTTTTTTTTCAAAAATTTCGATTTTATCCAAGCAGTGCTTTGATAAACTTTCCGCGGAATATTGATACTGGTACAAAACAAATGCTGCCACTTATAGAGTAACTGGGCGCTCTGTTGTTTTTTGTCGTGTGCTGTTAGGTAAAATTGTGTTATTGGTAACCTTGTGTGTTTTTGAAATTATTGTTTGCATTGCGTTGATTCCAAAAGACTAAAACAAGGCTAACATCATTTTTTCAAATTTAATTTGAGCAGAGTTTTGATAAATTAACTGTGGAACCTTGGTACTGGTACAAAAAAAACGCTTCCACTTATGGGATTACTGAGTGCGTTGTCATTTTTTGTCGTATGCTGGCTGTTATACACAGTTGTGTGTTATTGGCAACCTTGTGTTATTGGAAATGATGTTTGCATTGTATTAAGTTCCGAAGACCAAGCACTAACACTTGGTTCCTAACTTTTAGCTACCGGGCAGACACGGTTGTCTTAGTCTTTTGCGTACGCACATCGCCAGCTAAATATGGATCGAAAGGACTGATTTGATCATGCAAAAAGAAAATTTAGGCTACGCACATGTTGTACACGGAAGTTTAAGGCGAAAAAACGTCAGTCCTTGGTGAGCAGGCAGTGCCTCAAAATGCTGACCCTGTTGCACAACAAAAAAGGAGAGCGGGCTATCTTTCAGTGATCGGAATGAAATGTGGACAGCGACGCAGGGTGAATCTCCTTCCTCAACCGAAACGACTAACCCGACTCAACCTGGCCCTTTCTAGTAAGTGAAAAAGAAGTTGGTTCTAAGAGAAAGAGAAGTAGATCTAGGAAAGAAAACAGAAGTTGGTCCAGGGTGATGATTCTGGCAATGCGTTTGGATAAAACAGACTGCAAAAAAGAGCCTTGAAGGAAAAATAGGGCAAGTAACGGTCCCAAGCCAACCAAAGTGAGAACTCTCGAAATGGAATTTCATCGAAATCAGCAACCAAAAGCAACAATCAGCTAAAAAAAGCCGTCTCCTCTGGTCAAAAAAAGAACAACACATTGATGGCCAGCTTCAGTCCAAAACATGACGAATCGAAGAAAAAAGACAAGCTTTAAGTCCAGGTATGAAGAATTTGGCTCGGTGGAATGGGTCCCCGGAGCTGATTAAATTTTCAGCGGTCACCACGTCAGACTACCGTTTCGATTTTTTTAATTCGACCACTTCAGACCTGAATTTCACTCCAAGCCATAGAAACGACAAGTATAAGAGGCCCCTGTCTGACAGAATCACACTGGGATCTTCTTCAGCATATGATAGATTAGTGTCAGTGGGAACACAAAAATATGGAGCATCATCAAGTATTAGGCTGCAGACTCCAGTGACAGCTGCGACACTGAGCTTAACGCCAATGATGAGCTGGAGAGAAAAAAGACGACCGATTTTTCCTGAGAAGACATGATGGCGGGGTTTGATGACTTGCGGCAAGAAAGGCCTTGAAGGGTTGACAGGATGGATAAAGAGTCAGGCAAAGAAAAGCTGAGTACTGGTTGAAGTATGAGCAAGCTTCCTAACAGATAACCTATATGAGCAAGCAGCGAGGTAGGAGGAAGCACGCGCAGACAGGGAAGCTTTCGAGAACCATAGCGTGCGAAGCACAACCAGGACTGAAGTTTTTAGCCAGGAAACGAGGGTCCGCCCAGAGCGGCTCCTCCTAGCTCAAGCTGGAAGGACCCCAAACGTTCATTCTTAGGGGTTTCTTCAGGATTAAACTTACCAAGCAGGTCCCAAACGAGATCTAAACCAGATCTGAAGAGGAGAGTCTATCGAAAAGGCAAGATTGCAGTCAAGTGAATTCTAGTGTACAGCCCTGTATTGTGTTATGGCAAAAAAAGAAAAATGCGAGTGACAGTGCCAAAATTTTTTCGAGTTTTTAATAATGTTTTCTAAATTTTTGTTTTGTCTCGGGATTGCAAGGTTTTCAGGCAATAATGAAATTCAAGAAGAGGCGTCAGCGCGATGAAGAGTCGATTGAAAATTTCAAAGGCAATTGAATTGGGAAGGAAATACAAACATGGCAAATTGACTTTGGAGATACATGTAGTCATGTCGTCCAACATTCAAGGACGGTGTGAAGAGCTTAAAAAGATGCTGGCCACTCACATCACCTTGCCGGCGAACTGTGTACCCACTAATCAGACCTATAGCCAAGGTCGTTATAACAGTTATGACATTTGTAGTTGGATCAGCTTCTCCCAGATACTATTTAATGGGACTCGACAGATGAAGATCTTGAGCTTACTTCAAGGTCTTTGTAACCTTGTGGAACACTTAAGTCGGAATGCACTTAATTCTGGGAAGCATTAGCTGTTACAGAACACCCCAGGCGTGATGAGGCGTTGTCAAGAGTAAAGTTAACAAGAGGAAATTTGATGAATGATGTCAAAACTAGTAAAAATGAAGGCGCACACTTGAAGTTTGCGGCGCAAAAACAAACAGTGACCGGGGTTTCAACCACGTCGGCTTGGAATAGAGTGACTTCAGCAGCAACTAAAGTGGCTTATGGTCTAGCAACTATGACTTGTCAGCGGTACACAAAATGCAGCAAGAACTGGCAAGGAAAGAGTTAGAGCATTAGGTAAAGACTGAGTTAAAAAAAAAACAGTGGACAATATGAACGACTCGATATCATGGAGAAGGCTATAAAAACAGATTTGAATGCCGTGCCCGAGATAAGGAGTTTGAAATTAAACGTGATTTTAGGGAAAAACGTTTGCTATCACAAAAGAAGGAAGCAAGATTATGTCAGCCATATCATCGGCAGGTCATTATGCGGTTAAAATAAGAGCAAATCGGCTAGAATAACGTTAGTCCAGTTTGATTTCTACGGGATTATTCACTCAAGAAAAACCCAAACCTGGATTCAAAAAAATGAGAGCACTACTTGTAACAGGAAGCATAAGCTTGATGAATGTGGATGGACAACACATAGAAACTGATGGCTTATATCTCATCTCGATTATTGCAGATGGTTTTTTGATATATACCACAGCCTATACAATGAGAGCGAACAACCAAGTGCGACGTACTCGCAAAGGGCAGATTGAGTTGAAAGGCAGGCGCATTGGAGATAACGCCTTGATTGAACCGACTGCTGTTCACAAGACTATGAGGCTGATTAAGCTGCGCAAGTGTTGGACTCACAGGGCCGATAAATTGCGGTAAAAGGTTTATTGGACACTTGCGCGGTAGTTAGTGTCATGCTTTTCACCATTTGGACGGACATGGGCTTCGACCGACCGGATTTGTTACCGATCTTGTCCAATTCTTTGTGGCTGGATTGACATCATTTATCTCACTGCAGTTGGGAATTATGACGTCATATTTCTGAGAAACGTCAGAGACGGCCATTTTAGCTAAAATAGCAGAAAGGAACAGAACAACTTTATCTGCGATTACGAACAGTACGAAAATCGAGACTAAAAAACAACAACGAACTACCGAACAGCAGAGGACGTTCCGAGTTGCAACTATTGTGCTGTTACAATAGTTGCAAGG